TCCGATTATACCATATCTAAGTGAAATTGAAACTTTTGTAAACTTTAAACTAATTAATTATAATGAATTAAAAGAAATAGTATTTTCAATGTCAAATAAAAATGGTCCAGACGAAATATCCACAATTTTATTAAAAGAATGTTTTGAGAGTTTATCCCAACTTCTACTACATATTATACATTTTTCTATTGAAACAAGCTTAGTTCCGGATGATATTAAGATTGCTACAATAATTTCGATACCAACAATTTCGAATCCAAGTAAGGCTACCCATTTAAGACCGATAAATTTGATGTGCTGTTGGAAAACTAATAGAAAAAGTAATATCTTCAAATTATTGACTATTTAGAGGGAAACAGTTTGATAAGTAATGTGCAATCACGATTCCGTAGTAAACACAACTGTGAAACTGCTTTATAGTTGGTGTTCCATGACTGAAAGTTATCAATTGAAAATAATTTGGTTACACTGGCGGTGTTTTTATATTTACAGAGGGCATTTGATACTCAATAGGGGTAGATTATTAATGAAATTAAGAGTTATTGGTTTGTGCACTGGACTGGTTGGATCATAATATGGAAAAATGGAAACAGAAGGTTAAGGTAAGTAATTGTGTTTCAGATTCTATAGAGAATAATATGGGGGTGCCACAGGTTAGTGTTCTAGGTCCGCTGTTTTTAATTTATAATGACATTGCTGGTGTAGTCGAAAGATGCTCAATGCACTTATTTGCAGATGATACACTGATATATTTTACCCATGAAAACACAAACTTGTTTTAAAGAAATTAATAGTTCGATAAGTAAAATACATATATGATTATTGTAACAGAAACTCGTTGAAAATAAATTACGAAAAAACAAAGTGGATGTTAATTAGGGGTACTGGAAATTTAACAAAATTAAATGTAGCATCTCAATATGTTTCTGTTGATGGAATAAAGTTTCAGAGTTGAAAAATTTAAATATTTAGGGGTTATGGTTGATACAAATTTACAATTTAAGAAACATGCTAATAACGTCATCAAAAGCATATCATTTAAAATAAACTATTTGAAGCATCTCAGCAAATGGGCTAAAATGATAATTTATAATACTCTAATATTACCTCATTTTAATTATTTTGCCACTATATTGCATTTGCTCAACCAGAATGAGTTGCAACGATTGCAAAAGTTGCAGAATAGAGATATGAGGATAATACTGAGCTGTTCGAGATTGGAACCAATCAATTCCATGTTGAATGTGCTTCAGTGGTTGCCTGTTAAAAAATATTTGTTATTCTATTCCCTACTATTTATATTTAAGATTAAATCAGGAATCTCCCCAGTATATTTACAAAATATTTTAAGTTATAATCAGGATGTTCATGAAGACAATACACGAAATAAGAAAAAATTTACGAGTTTATAAGGCCAAGAAAAAATGTACACAAAATTCAGTGTTTTTTTAAAGGAATACAGGCTTTTAATAATTTGCTTAAAGATGTTCTTCAAACGCAACAATATTTAAAAAAAAACTATGTGAGTACTTGCTGACCAATTGACGTTTTTTTCTTTCTTGTTCTTTTATTATGTTTTGTATAGTTGACATGTACGTGTACTGTATCTTATGTATTTTTTATATTTTAAATGAAGATATATTGACATGTAAAAAATAGTTTTTTTTACTAAATAAAGGATTTATATAATAGTTATGTTTGAGACGATGCTTTATATTTGCCTTTCGTAATGGACTGTATCCTATACCCAGATGGAATAAAACATCGCTTCAATTTTACCTTCTATAATGGTCAAACAAACATGAAGAACAGAATAATTGAATTGTCTATCTTGAGTGATTAACGGATTTCAATGCGCTAGTTCAGTGATGATGTAATTATGGTTCCACTGACAATTAAAGTGACAGTAGATTTTTTGAGTGCGTTTTGTTCGTTTTGTTTACCTAAATTATATCGTTCTTTCACTTAATATAAATATATTCCTAAAGTAAGTAGATAGTACGTATCAAATATACAATCGTTTAGTTGCCAATTACATACCTTTAAACTATTTTTTTTTTTACCTGTAAACAATATTTTGAAATAAAATAACAGTAAAAACGTATATGTCAAATTTATTGATGTTTTTGTTAAAAGTTTGGTTAGAATTAAATGTCAGTGGAACCAAAATGACATCACACTGAACTAGCGCATTCTATTTTATTTTGTTTCGTTTCCCTAGTATTCTCGCCATAGGCGTATCAAATGGTAGGTTTTGCAGTGCTCTGTGACAAGTTATATGGATTTTAAAAAGGCATAATTGAAATATTTTTGGATATACAGGATGTTACGCTTTTGCATGACAAATTAGAAGGTATATTTTTTTAAATAAAACATATTTTTAAAAGCAATTAATTAGTTTGTAAAATTTCAGAATGATGCAGACTTTTTTGTTTATTATTTTATAACTTTCAAGACTGATGGGCTGTAATGTCCCGGTAGAACGGACTAATGGGACAATATGTCCCATTTTTTTAAATATTAAATATATTTTGGAAAATTCTAAAAAAAAAATACAAGCTGCTTAAAAAGCTTCCTAATGTTAGAAAATGAAATAATATTAATGATTACACGTAAAACAGAAATAAAAATCCGTCCTGAAAGGGTTAAATTTTTGACACACCCTGTATATAACATAGCAAATTAATGAAGTCTATTAAAATTGTTGTGAAAACAATCGAATATTTGTAAATACCTATAGGGTGTTTTGCTTTAAAAAAGTATGAGTTTGGTGAGCCCTTCGTTTATGAACCACTCTGTAAATTTAAGAATAATTGTTAAATATACTTTCAACAGCTATCGATCAATTAGGCACTGATGGGCACCCTGTATATTTATAATTAGCTAATCTGTTATCGTTGGATAGGTAAATTTATAAGGAACTTTTTATTAAGATAATATACAGGGTTGTATTTGACAAAATAAAGTAAATTGAATTTAGCCGTATTTAAGAGATGTTTTAAGACAACATAAACCAATTCTATCACTACTATTCGTTAGCTTGGTACCTTATAAGTCTCTATTTTAAACAATTTTTAAATCATTGCTAATCTACCTAAATTTGATAATTTAATTTGGGGTCTGCATTATTTTCTAATTTTACAAACAAAATAAATTGTTTAGCGACCCTGTAATATTTTTTAAAAACATTCTAGGTTTGAATACTGTATTACTAGACCATTCTAAAATTGAAATAAAATATAGGGTGTCCAATTTAAAAAATATACACTTTTATTTGCCAGGAAAAAAAAACATGTATGCCCTAAAAATATTTTTAAAATGTCTTTTTCAAATCCATGTAACTTTTATTTAAAACTTGTTTGAGTGCAACACAAATTGAAATATTGAGCAATGACACACTAATGGGGCACCCTGTATATATATTTTTTGTCTATCCAAGTAAAAAAATAGTGGACTGAAATTTTAATAATTTATTTATTTAATAAATTATTTATTTACAATAGAAGACGAAAGAAAAAGGTACGAACATAAACATCTAGTTTACTCAATAAAAATAAAGCTTCAACTCTTTATAATACAAATTTAAAAATAAAACCATTATCTATACAGTGTATACCAACAATAACTTGATCCCACATTCCAGAAACAAAGAGTATTAAGATGAATATAAAATAAAATGACGAAATCATAAAAAAATCATTTTTAAAAATGTGATCATTGCAAGTATATTCAAAAAATTTATCATACTTTTGAAGAGTTTCACAATGGCTGTATTTACCTAGATATGTATAATTGATCAAATTGATGAAAAAACCAACTGTTGTTATAAAATAATTCTTTAAAATTCTCTGATTTGATATTGTAGCTATATATTCTACAATAAGAAACTAATCCATTCATCTATATAAAGAGTAATCTACAAAAAATGTTTCTAAAACAGCCCATGACCGACAAAGACAAAAATACGAGTAATTAAATCCAAACTGGCAATTAAAAGAAGAATGTCGTTACCTTAACATGTAAACTTCCTAACTCCATACATAATAATTTTACAGAAGCAAAAAACCTTCATTTAGATAGAAGAAAAAAAAATGAATTAGATCATTAGGTATTTATTTAAAGAAAGCTTTTAATAAAGACCTAATGATCTAATTAATTTTTTTCTTCTTCTAATATTTAAATGAAACTGTTTTTTTGCTTCTCCTGTAAAATTATTACGTATGGAGTTAGAAGGTTTACATGTTAAGGTATGCTCCGACATACATGAATTTTTCCAAGAAACATTTTTTGTGGAACACTATTAATTACATTCATAATTCCTCTCTAATTTTAACATAACATTATAACTTGGAATGTTATGAAATTTATATATAAATAAAAAACATATTCGTTTATAAAAATAACAAAATAATATTATATAAAAGTTTAAACAATTACACATTTACTCTACATGTTTTTAAAAATCGTATAAAAAGTGTAAAGAAATATAAAAACGGACGGACAATTTACATAAGTCATGTTTCAATAAAATGTTAGATCCCAATTCGAGATTCTAAGTTAAAAACAGTCACATGTCACAGAAATAAAGTTTTCTATTTAAAAAAGGTACCGTGTAGGATGTATAGATATAGCGAAAGTCTTACAGATAAGTTTATTATTACTACCCATTTAAATGGTAAAAAATCGTTAACTATTTCCTTTTTTTTTCTATACATTTATTATCTACATTTCGTCGTATTGGTGATGAACAGAGCTAAGCCACATTTTTAGGCAAAACTTAAAATCCCACAAACTGAAAGAAGCTAGGTGAAAATAACATATATCTCTTTCAGTGATAAAGCATTTTTAAGCGACATACATTTCTTCTTCTTTCGTTTTTAAATCAGTCTTAAAATGAAGGACGTGTTTTCATTTGTACCAAATTTTATCGTATTTAGTACATAAATAACTTAAGATTTAAATCAAAAGTTGCTTTAATCTAAGAGTTGCAAACTTATTTACCCATTTTCTTCAATTAATAAGTGTGTGGCTTAGCTCTGTTCACCACCAATACGATGATTTGTAAATAGATTATGGTAATAAACTCAAGTTAGACTTTCCTATCTTATCTGAAATATCTACATGTATTTGTTTAAAAGAAAATAATTCTGTGACTAATAAAAAAAACCTACAAAAGTTGATATACTGCTAACAAGGCACTTAGTAGTAAAACACTTGTGGAATATTGTATTGTAATTCCGCTGTTGCATCGGTGGTCCAAAAAGCAGAAACACCAAGTAACATTGTCATAGTAATTTCTGGAAAGATAAATACTATTTTTAAAAAAAACTAGCATAACAGTCGAAAAAAAACGTTCATTAAATGTTGACGATATGAAATTTAAATCACTTAGTCAAAGTTCAACAGATCATCATTATTCTTGCATGGTATTCAGTATCAGAGTCAAGATGGCGCCGACTGAACCGCACGCGCAAAATACTGATGAGTGTAATTATTGTAAAAAATCTGTAACTGCTGGTGTAAAATGTGAAATCTGTGACTTGAAATATCATCCCATCATGTGCACAAAGAGTAAATGCTATCAGAAGATGCTAAACCAAAAGTTATTGAAAAATCTAAGACCATGGATCAAGAAAAAAGTAAAGGTGATGTATTTTGCATTGATGCTTACAACTTTTTAAAATTACTAGTAGAAGAACAAAAACTAGCAAACCAATTAATGAGTGAAAAAATAAAAATCTTAAAAGTTGAACTTAAAAATGAAAAAACGAAATATTCTGATCTGCAAACACAATATAACGAATTAAATCCTAAATTTATAAGAGTTGACAATAAAAAATCAAAACTTATCTATCAGTGATAATAAAAGACCACGTTTTTATAGAAAAACCAAAACAAACAAAAACTGAAAGTGGTGAGTATACCTGTTGGAAATAAACATTTAATACCAAAACAAAAGCAACAAGCGATTATAGGAATGCCGCCTGTACAGGATGACTCATTCCTCCAAAGGAAACAAGTTGCATTAGAACTAATGAAAATTCAAACCCTACAAAAAACTAATGAAATAATAAATCTAGCAGATGATACCAATGAGGGGAGTCATGAGAATGATTATATCACAGTAACAAGACGGCAAAGGAGAAAAAACAAAACAATTATGGGAAGTGGAGAAGGTGATGATGAATTTAAAGGAAGGGAAAAATCAAACAAAAAAATTTGGCTCTTTGTATCTAGAGTATCACGACAGTGTAAATGAAGAAAATGTTAATAAATACATTCATAAATGCACAAAAGCAGAAGACATTTATGTGAAGAAACTAGACACATATTTTGTAAGACAGAATAATTAAGATTTTCTAGTGGGAATAGATCCTCATTTTCAGGAGCAAGTATATAAATCAGATTTTTGGGTTGAAAAATATAATTTATTCCCGATTCAACTTTAAACAAGGTCAGCGATTTTTTGAAAATTCACAAAACCAGAGATCACATAAGAGTGAAGAAAATTTTTCAAACCTAGCCTCTACTTCAAACCTGATAAAATAAGGACCTCAAGGACTACTATATAAAACCACTTTTTGAAAGAAAATGAATTACTATTTTGCAGTTCCCAACAGTTAAATATTACTTTAATGGATATTAACATACAGGGAGGTTTTGCCAATAAATGCTTTGATCCAAATTTAATTTTACAGAAACAAAATGTAAGTATTCTATGTGTTACTGAACATTGGCTTGATTCTAACAATTTACAAGCTACCTCAATTGACGATTTTAAGCTAGTATCATATTTTTCAGGGATAAATAAAGAAAAAGGTGGTGCTAGTATATTTATGAAAACAAGTATTGCTACAAATTTTGAATCAATTAATTTACATAGGTGGTGTATAGAAGGTGAATTTGAAGTATGTGGTGGAAAAATAAAAATCGATTCTAAACTTTTTTATTTATTATTACTGTGTATAAGCCACCTTGTACTAAGTTTAGCACTTTTATAAATCAGCTAGAGCTATTAATTCATAATATTTAACAAAACGACAATCACTATTTTATCTGTGGTGATATTAACGTAGATTTTTTGATTGAAGGTAATCAAAAAACTGTTTTAATTGACTTATTGAAGGAATTTAATATTAAACATCATATAAATGTTGCAACGAGAACAATAAGTACAACCTCAACTTGTTTAGATAATTTTTTTACAAATTTTGATGTACATGATACTTTTTTCCCCTGATCATAACTACTTATTATGTTGGATTAAACTACCTAATTTTGAAAATAACGAATTTAAATACAGATATAAACGAGATTTAAGTATTCCTAACACAATAACTTTTATAAATATTTTATCAGTTGAAAATTGGCGTGAAGTATACACATCTACTAATTTTAATGATAAATTTTCTATCTTTTAGGAATCATTCCTACACTACTACAATATTGTATTTACGAAAACAAAGAAAGCGATAAAACCACAAAAATTAAAAAATCAGTTTCCACCTCATATTAAAGAGTTACATAATCTATTATGTGAAAGAAAGAAATAAATTCTACATATTATATAAAACGTTACAATAATTTAAAAAAAAGAGTATCAAAAAATAACAAAAGAATATTTGAGAAGAAAAAATAATGATTGTATTTTAAAAAGTAATAACGTAATGAAAGAATCCTCGAATATAATAAACGAGAGTAGGGAAAAAAGAAAAAACTTATTGAATCCTATTAAACTTACAAATGATGACAAATTAACACCCTTAGAAAAAGTAAATTATATCATTGACTATTTTATTAATGTAAATAAAAATAATATTGTACCTAACTATACTATGAGTATTGATAAACATCATAAAAGTTCTTTTTCCAACACCTCCTAGTTAAATCATCACTATAATCAAAAAAACTACTTCTAAACCCACTGAAGGTATTGACGAAATAAATGGTAAAATTCTGTTATCGGTTGCTCATTGTATTGCTAAACCCATATCACATTTGATTAATGAATCCTTTGTTTCGGGATTATTCCCAAATATGAAGGAATCTAAAGGAATTCCTGTTTATAAAAATAAGGGATCTGCATCTAATATAGAAAATTATCGTTTAATCTGTATATCTAGTCAAATAACTAAAATATTTGAGTCATACTTTATTAGACTCACTAATTACCTTGAAAGTTTTAATATGTTGCCAGATACTCAAAATGGATTTAGAAAAAATAAGTCAACATCTAGGTACTGCAATTGCAGCTTGCCTAGAATTTATATATCAAGCACTCAATGATAAAAAAACATATTTTGGGACTCTTCTATGACCTTAGCCGTGCATTTGATATGGTGGATCATAATCTTTTATTAATGAAGATGAATGGGTTAGGAATACGAGGGAAACCTTATGAATGGATACAATCTTACTTAATAAATCGAACTCAAGTAATTGTAACAAATAGTCTAAAATCTGATCCTCTTCCATGTACAATAGGAGTTCCCCAAGGTTCAATTTTGGGCCCACTTCTTTTTATAGTTTTTATAAGTGATATAAGTAATGTTTGTTTAAGCTCTCAACAAATAGTTCAATATGCTGATGATACCAATATTGTAATGGCAGATGATCAAATTGAACAGGTCACTCAAAGTAGCAACGAGGCATCTCGTGAGTTTAACCAGTATTGTAAAGATAACGGTCTGGCATTAAATGTAACAAAAACAAACTTCATGCAATTTCTACCCAAAAACATATTACCAGATTATGAACCCTACTTGCACGTTGACGGAAAAACTATTCAAAGCATTGATGACATAAAATTTTTAGGAATAATATTAGATCCCAAATTAAATTGGGAAGCTCATATAAAAATGGTAACTTCAAAATTAAGTACTTGTTGTTATATCATCAAAAATTTAAGGGAGACACTATCTTTTGATACTTTAAAACTATGCTATTTTGGTTTGGTTCATTCAACTCTACAATATGGGTTAATATTTTGGGGTTCTTCACCATACTTTGAAAAAGCTTTTGTATCTCAAAAGAAGGTTCTGAGAGCCATGTATAAGGTGATACCTACAACATCATGTAAAGAACTTTTCAAGAAAATGCAAATTTTAACACTACCTTCCCTTTTTATTTTTCAACTAATTTTATACATAAAAGATAATAGGCATATATTTAAGAAAAATAAAGACCTGCACTCATATGATACTAGATTAAAATTTAACATCCATCAACCTTTTTCACGACTACAAATAAGCCAGCATTCACCAAAATATATTGGGATTAAGTGTTATAATAAGTTCAGTAACATATTAGAAGATACTACAGGTTATCATCAAATTAGTCGTAATGATTTAAGAAAACATTTTAATGATTTTTTTGTAAATAATGTATTTTATAGTATAGAAGATTTTTTGAACTTTTAAACTAATCTTAACATGAATTGTCTATTATATCTATTTTATTTTTTAATGTATTTACTTAACACTTTTTTGACTAGTCTGATAGGATTTTACATTATGTACCTAGTGTCTTTGTATAGTGTATAATTCTCAAAGATGAATAAATTCTATTTCTATCCTTTACCAGCTCCATCAAAACAGTGACAATATATGTTATAAAATTAATCAAATATTAAAGTCCAGAATTATAAGAAAATAATCATTCGACTCACCTATATATATCAAGTTCTTTTACAGTGTTATTCACATAATTGGCTAATTTAACGTCTACTGCTGCAGGCCTACAACCTTCATAATGATCAGCTGGAATGTCTGTTCGAAGGCCTTGCATAGAGCTTAAACAGTCTCTTGTAATTATAGTTTCACCTGAAATAAAATAATCTTTATTAAAATAGTATTCCTAATATACAAAAATGATAGGATCGTATACATTGACTTCACTAAATACTAAATACACAAAATTTCACTTATATAAAGTTAGCATAGATCTAAATCAAATATTTGTAACCCATAAAAGAATGTAGAGATTTGTAGCAACCGTAAAATACAATGAATCTTGTAGAGGACAGTTTAGGTGACTGAATTTACTCACCTTTTTTGGAGTATTTATATAGGAATGTTTGTTATATTTTTTAAGAATAAGCAAATTTGAATCCTAAAGTAGATATACCACAAGAAATCTGATACAACTACCCTATACATAGATTCTTTGTCTAACTGAAAAAAATGTAATGTATATTAAGTATCTGGGCTTAGGAAAAGCATTTAAAGTTTCAAATTTAGTCTTAAGAAATGTTTAAACGTTTAATCAAGCAAAAATGCAATGTTTTACCATCTTTTTCTTCTAAAATTTTTACGCATACATCGTCATCTTCTGGGCATACTTTTGTCCAGTGGAATAGCCAGTTGAATGGTGTTCCGCATCCTGGTTGAGTTGAAACACATTGGTAGCACCAAATTGCATTAGCTAAAATATTATTAATCATAACCTTTGCCACACCCACAATTAATTTGTGTTTTATTAAGTCTCGACTTACTTTTGGCAACAAATCCTATTAAAACAAGCGACAATATGTAAGGCATATATTTAGTCATCTTCGGGCTTTTAAATTATTTAAAATATTAAACAATTTATTTTAAACTTGTTTTTATTCTTGTTTATGTTATTAAACAGTAATTCAACTTTCAACCACCGCACTGCACAACCTGTTGCTGTCAACACTGTCATGTCATTAGTCACATGTCACATTGTTGCCAAGTGTTGCCAGCAGAAAATGTTCTTGTTATATACCAGATGCACTGATCTGCCAGTAAAAAATGTACCAGATTCCATAAAATATATAAAAAAGCTTAAACAAAACAAAGAAGGACGCCTAACAATATATTTTACACGCGTCAAATGGTAACATGCTGAAAAAGAAAAAGTACTAAATTTCGCTTCGAGTGTACGAGTACCAGATTCTTAGAAAATGTACTAGATCTAGTGTACAATTGTACTGGTCTGGCAAGGCAATACTGGTTGCCAACATACATGGTTGTCTCTGTCGATTATCATTTTCCATTCGAATTATTTTCATGAAAAATAATACTAATTGCAATAAATAAAAAGTAATAAACTATAAATTAAATTAATTTAGATAGCAATTTACAAAACAGCATCCAATATTTTATAAAAATGGGCTTTAATCGGCTTTAATTTTTTTTTAACTATGTTGCCAGATGACAATTTTTTCAATATGTTTTAGATATTTGAAAACATATTTATTGTAAATCTCAAATAATATATACAAGGTGGCCCAACGAAAACAACATGGAGGTTTTGGATATTAATATAGTGGATGTTAAAAAATGCTTGGACAGGAGGTCGATTTTAGCTTGGAGGGGAACGCTTTTTTTTCTTATTGCAGCGTCATCGTCACTTCAATTCATCGCCGAGCATCAGTGGGGTGGGGTAAACAACCCCTACAATTTAAATAGTGAAAGTGTAATGGATGTTACACTCATTGAAAAGGTAATTTAATGAAGAAATCGGTAATAATGCAATTGCTTTTAATTTTAGCGCCTAGCTTATTGATAAAAACAAGTTACATATTGTAAAGTGTGAAATTTCATACTAATTCAAAGCGCATATTGCACAAATTTAGTAACTTTAGTTATATTATACTTGTTTGTATTTGTATTGATAAACATTAAACCTATAAATAAACAAACATAGATACGTAAATAATGATAAACGATAAGATAGACTCATTTTATCAAGTGTATTTTACAAACATATAATGATGAAAAGATAATTCTCAGAAACTGATTTGTACACTTCCTTGTTAAATTTCTAAGATCGAGCAACCATAAAAAATATTAATATTTCGTAAAATAAATTATTAAAAGAATGCAATGAAAAACAGAGTCATTAATTTGTAATCATAATCTGATGTTTTGTCCTTTTTTGCGGATATTAAATTCTAATTAGTTTCAAATTAGTCTCGTGTTCTGTGTAGGCTATTGCTGTTGCCCAGCATCACTTTAGAAACAGCACTGTTAATTATTAGGATCCAGCAGTGAATGCATGGTCGAGTGGGGAATCCTACCTATGCATTAGAATTAATATTTAATTTATTCAACGGGATTCAAACATGAGATCCTTCGTTCTTAAAGTCATGACTCTAACCACTAGGTCAATCCACCTCCTCATAAAAGATTATTACTTTTTTTAACTAAAAATGAACAGCATTAAATATAGTACCTATATTATTTAACGAGCGGTAAAGTAGGTCATAACTCACGCAGATGAAGTTTGCAGCACGAGCCGCAGGCGATAATGTGATAAATGTTAATTAAGGTAAACCAGATATCGATGCAAAATTTGGTACAAATTTGTGAATGAAATAAAACTCAAATTATATTTAACTTATTAATTTTATCTTCAAATAAAATAGCGATACCATTACTTAAATTGGGGAATGAGAAATTATATTTCTCACCCATGTGTCCTGCCCAAATAAACTGACCACAGGCCACTTGCCATTAAATATATACGGTTGACTAATTCTTGAGGATATATAGCAGACGTCCTCAGAATTGCACTATCAGTACTAAGATACAGTCGTTGCAATAACAGACGGATATCCCTTATGTTTCAGCCTCACCTAGGGGGAGGGGTTATGTAGTGTAGTCCTACTAGAATTGAGCCTGATCAATACCAACGAACTACCCCTTGTGTTCAAATCTACCTACGGTGCGAAGATTGAGAGATAATTATTTCAGATAGTCCAACCCTGCAGTGACATCAAGCATATTTGTGTAAGATGTGAGTCTAGCCGTCCGAAGTGTCATTTACCCCAATCAACTGAGCGGTAGCTATTAGCGAGGGTGTATCGGCACTTCGATAGACTAAATTTATAAATAGTTTTAGGCTGGTATAATCAAACGGCAAATGCATACTAGGACGTGTCCATCTAGCGGCCCAAATATGACGTTAATGAACAATGCATTTCTATAATAATGAATAATATAATAATAAATCTCTTTTAAATTATTGACTCACCATCTATTTCTGACGTTTTCATATTGTTATTGATACGTGGAAGTGTTGCTGGTTTGGAAATATTGAAGGGGTATCGAGACGTAAAGCACCGAGACGTATAGCACCGGGACGTTGAAGGTAGGAATGTAGAGCGGCGGGGCATAGAGAGGGCGTCGGTGCGTAGAGCGTCGTATAAGAGAGAGCGTCGTGACGTAGAAAGGTAGGAAAGTAGGGACGTAGAGCGTCGGATAAAAGAGATGACGTCGGGATGTTGAGCGTGACAACGTTCGGGAGATATGTTGTCAAGATGGATGTAAGGTAGGAAACGCTTATGTGGTGCGGGACGTGACAGCGTTGGGGGTGTAGAAAGGTAGTAGGGCGTCGGGATGTTGGGCGTCTGAACATTGACAGCATTCGGGGATAGGAGTTATAGGAGGTATTGTAGGGTATACGTCGGTTAAGAAGAGCATTGATTATAAAAGGTACTGAATAGTGAATATAAAATAATAATGCCCCTCGATTCCTCGGGTTTGGGTATTTATACCCGTATTAATGGTTTTTTGTGACGTCAGTTTGTCGTAGCTCCGGTGGGAACGAATTTGGGTGGATAAAAAGGGTTGGTAGATTTATTATGCGTCTTGAGAACTTCTCGGAATGTTGTATCGAAATATTGCCGAAAATGGGTCTTAATCTTCAAAACTAGAAAGATAAGCAAGTTAAGTGTTTTAATGATTATTACTTCGTGAAAATAAATATGTGTATGGAAGTTTTTGGATCGAATTCTCATGGTATAACTTTTTATCTTTTCTGTAATATTAGAGATACCTCGAACAGAATTATTGCTTTTATTTATTAAAGCATCTTAGATAGGATTTAATTAAAAGATTTTTCGTAAATGTAGGAATTTGAATTTAATAAGAATGCAACTTTTCTTTAATAAAATGGACTTAATAAATTATGAAGGTACCTGGGTGAGGTAGGTTACATTACTTATTTTTTGATTAATTAATTTTATTAACTGTAAAATTAAAAAAAACCAGTAAACTGAATATGTTGGACTAAATTATGCAAGCGTATTGTTTCTTTTTGTGTTTGTTGCATATATGTTGTACTAATTGGTTGAGGCGTTGTTATAGAACTGTATATTTTATATTAGTACTTTACAAAGGATGTCAGGGAATCTGTTTTCTTTTGTTTTAATTTTTGCACCTTAATTTATAATTTTTGTTAGTAGGTTCTTGGGTTTTTAGGTGCCTTAAGATTGTATCTGGATGTTTATACTTTTAATGAAAATCATGTGTTTTCCGTTTAGAGCTTTCAGCACTAATCAGTGCTTTTTTCAATAATAGTATTTATTTTATTTGATTTTTTTCCTTTATCATTGTTTTTTTTAGTATATTTTGCATCTGTTTTAATTTTATTTTTAACCGACTTCAAAAAGGGAGGAGATTCTCAATTCGTCGAAACATTTTTTTTATGTATGTTCAGCGATAATTCTTTAACACGGTGTCCGATTTTAATCATTATTTTAGAAAGAGGGTACTTCAAGGGTGGTCCCATATAAATTTGGTCAATATTTAATAATTAGGTCCATGAGAAAATTCTCAAACTCTTCATTCTTTATGTATGTTTAGCGAATATTCTTTACCACCTTTCGATTTCTATGATTATTTTTTTGTTAGTAAGAGGGTATCTCAGAGGGGTGGTTCCCTATAAATTTGATCAAGCTATGGTGATGGTATCTGCACGATTTTGAGGTCGGTTTTTAAAATAACTTTTATTACTTGTTAGTTTAAGTTTTAACGTTACCTTAGGTACAATTGGGTTGTCTTTTCTTAAGATTTATAATTTTTTTTAGCGGTGTCAAGTTTTTGGTTTCATAATATGGTTTAGAACCCCTCTGGATTTGTAATTTTAGATTTTTCGCCATGACTTTCGATTATAGCCCGCCGTGTTTTGACCTTGTAAATTTTTTGAACGGCGCCCATTTGAGGGGCCGATCCTGCCGAAGATAAAATAGTCGAGATTTTATTTTTCTATGGTCGAGATGATGATGATGGCGATGATGATGGCGATGATGATGATTAACAGAATAAATACCTGTTTTTTCGGTATTTCAATATTGTGACAAAAATAATAATTGACTTAAATGTTTTTTTTTTAAATTTGGTGTCATCGGCGTCGACTACTACGGCCATTAGCCTCGTGTTCTGTGTAGGCTTTGTTAGTGTTTCCCAGCGCCACTTTAGGAACAGCACTGTTAATTAGAACCCAACAGTGAATGGTCGAGTGGGGGAATTTTAAATGTTTTAAAATTAATTTAATCATTTAAGTTAGTTCACTTGCGACAGTCGTACATAAAAATATCGCATAATGGTAAATACCAAAAGTTCGAGATTTTCTATGCTAAACAATTTTATTTTTGTAAGAGATTGTACACAACATATGTAAGCTTATATACACATCACTGTGTATTTCTGAATAAACTTTTTGTAAGGAAAAAATTTGGTATCCAACTTTAAGATAAGGCTTTTTGTTCAAAACAAACATGATAATAAAGAAGAAACGACTGCTGCGATTTATTATCTTGTGAGTTTTGTGTTCAGAAGTAAAATCGCGATAATCCGGTAATTTTATTTCGGTCCAAAAAACAACAAAATGCCTTATGTTGGACTAACAGATGTGCAGAGGGAAAGAATTAATAAACAAGGTGTTGTATTGAAAAGATATAGAAGGTACTTGGAACTAGAAACTCTCAAGAACAGGCCCAGACAAAGTCGTCAAAGAGTCACAACTGAACAACAGGATCGCTTTGTGGGCCAAATTGCTAAAAGAAATCCCAGTGTTTCTCATCCAGAGCTACAACGACAACTTCTGGAAGCTACAAGTGTAAACGTTTCAGTTGAAACCCTGAGAAAAAGACTTCGCGCTCGAGGGTTGTACAGTAGGAGACAGTTGTGGGTCCCATCGTTATCTAGGCAAAATAAAATTGGCTAAATTGGTGCCTTCAACACCAAAACTGGACAATTGAGAATTGGCAAAATATTCTTTTTTCGAATGGGACCAGAATTGGTCTAAGGTCAAATGACCATTGAATTCGGGTTCTCAGAGTTCCAGGAAAATGAGCGAGACTCCACGCTGCCAGATCTGTCCCAAGATATCAAGGAGGAACTGTAATGTTCTGGGGCGATATTATGCTGGGAGCAAATACTCCATTGGTACCACTTCAACAAACTTTAACCGGTCCGAGGTATGTTGATTTAGTGCTAGAATCAATTGTTAGGCTTTGGGGATAATTTTATCTTTATGCACGATAATGCACCTTCCCATACCAGCAAAGTGGCTAGAGAATGTCTTGAAACGAAAGGTGTCACAGTTTTGGACATGTCCTGCATGTTCACCAGGCCTAAATCCTATCGAACACTTTTGGGACCAGATCAAAAGAAGGATGCAGCATTAGCAGAATGGGAAAACATACCCCAAGACAATTTTGACAATTTAGTAATAAGCATGAGAAGGGCGAATAGAAGCTTGCATAAGGGCTAGAGGTGATAACACGGATTGCAAAAATTACCAATCTTCTTTTTGTTTTTGCTTTTTGGTTATTAAAAATTTAAATCCAATTTCGTTTCAGAAACCAAAAAAATACCATTGTGTTTATTTTGTCAACTAATTGATTATTTTTATTGCCATGTGGGTTATTTGTCATTAAAAGTCTTTGGTAAGGACTGAGTGTTAATCATAAACAAAAAAATGTTTATAAATCTCAAAAATTATGAAAAATAATATAAGTTTGGTTGTGTGTATATATGGATGTTATAATTTTAAATAAAATCATTCCGGCAACGTCGCAAATATATCTTCCTCATACTAATTTTAATGGTTTGTTTTGGTAAAAACAGAACCGCTGATCCAGTTCTCAAATACAGTGGACGAATTAATTTTTCAAGAACACGTCGCGAGGTTGTAACAATCTCTTAGCTGATCCAGTGTTTTGTTACCACTCGTTAAATGTAGCGATTACAATGTTGCCAAGTTGTAATCATTTTACGCAACTACGTGTCGACTGCTTTAAAAATATTTTTATTTTAATAATCTATACCATTTTACCAAAAAGGTTAAAAAATTCAGCGTTTTTCTTAGAAAATTTTATAACTTCTTGATTTACATTACAATAGTTTTTAAAAAAATATGGTAAGAACCGTTTTCGAGATATCTTGAAATACTTAAGTGCATTGCTTGTGTACATGACAGGTTTCAAGAGTGTTAATTATGCACATTTTGATTGTTAATATCTCATCGTTTCAGACGGTCAAAAAATTTAATTGTTTTTAGTTACGTAAAAGACACTTTCATTATCCTTATATTTCAATTTTATTGAATTGTTAGGAAAAGCCGTTTTACGAGTAAACTACCTTAATTTAAAAAATAATAAAATACGATGCGTTATTTAGGGAATTTTTACAAAGAAATGCGGCAACGTGGCAAACAACATTGAAGAATGGAAATTCCGGAGATCGGAGATACAAGTTTACGATGAGCGTTGAATGACGCCGTCAGACTGTCAGTGTTCGTTTATTATTTACGTGTAGTTGTTGCCTAGACTTTTGTTCGCCGCTTACTGTTTATTTTTAAATATCTTTGATTTTCGAATTACGTGTGTGCGTTTTGTGTTTTGTTGATTTATTTTGGATTTTCGTGGATTAAACAAATAGTTAATAATGCTTTAATGGGTAAGTGCAGTAGCTATACAATTTACAATTTCTATTGCTAATTAGTTAATTAAATTATGTTCACCTTTGTGAAACGATGCTTAACCCAACTAAACATATTTACGTAAATCTGTAGCTGTAGGTAATTGAATTGATATTAGTTTTTTTACATCGCAGATGAAGGACTTTATACGTAGAATAATGTAATGGAATTTATATTTATTTCCTTTCATCGCAGATGGAGGCCTTTAGAGGATATTTTTTTTTCTTTTCATTCGCGTTGTGTTAAACAAAAATATTTCAGGATCTATAGAAAATTATAATAATAAAATTAAAAGTAGTATAAGTATAATAAAAAAAGTATACCTACCTAGTTTGTAGAACTTCTAGAAGTTTAAATAATTATTTGACCTTCTTTTGAGCCTACATTAGGTACTTAATATCAACGGTTGAGTAAATTTTGCTGATGATACATAAAACAATTATAAATAATGCTCTTTTGGGTTACGTTCGACTATAGGAACACACTGTTTGACCAGTTTCACTTTATTTTTTTGATTTAAATGATATTAAGTATGATTTTAACTCACCTTAGGTTTGGAAATACGAAAAAAAAGTATAAATCAATTATATATTTTAATTAAATACTTTTTGAAAATGAGAAAACGAGTCTTTTATTAAATTTAACCTAAAACTTGAAAATTTTAATATTTGGCATTTCTTTTCTGGATAATGAGCGGGGTTGCCAAGATTAATTTATTACTTGTTACTATTTCGGCCGTTATCCGCAATATTTAAAAAACTAAGTAGTCTGGGCATTAACAGAATGACCAGGTAGCAGAGAATTTAGAGTGAAATTTTATGTTGAATGAGTAAAATAAAATGATTTTGTAACATTGTATTTTTAGAAATTACTCAAAAATGTCATGTGAAATGTCAGTAAGTTATAAAAACTTACAAAGGATTGCTGTTTAATTTTATAAACAATTGTATGAGTTGATATGAACAGATATTATTCTTTGATCTGTGTTAGGGGTCGAGGAGCGATGTTTGATACAGATTTCGGTATTTTATCACAAAATTCTATTATTTTTATTTAACTAAACAAATCATAAAAGTATAATAATTTACGAGTTTACAAATTAATTATATCTTCTTACATATTAAAATACTTGGCAACCCTGTACCCATAAGTCAAAATATTTGATTAAAAATGTGCAATTTTAATATTAAATTTCTCGCTTAATCGTGGATAATCTCCAATTTTTTTTTAATAGTTATGATATATAACTTCTTTACTTTCTAATAGTACAAATTTTTTTTTGAAATTCGTGTGTCTTTTAAGTCGAATGTAACCGGATTCTGTGACAAAAAATTCTGCCTCTTCTTTAATCCCCTCCATGTGCCAGAGTTATCAATTTGTTTTTAACAGGAAGAGAGGGGTCCTATGGCACTTTATTTGAAAGGGATTTAGAAGCGGATTTTAGCACATTTATAATATAAACCAAACCATATATACCTTTGTAGTACTTACCTATAATATGAGTTATTTTTATATCACTATAATCTCTAGTGTTTTAACAATACGTCTAAAAACATTTTTAATACAATAAATTAGTGATGACGTAATTTTGGTTCTACTGACAATTACAGACAAACTGACACTAAAATTTTTTATTTATTTATTTTTTTTTTTGATTGCAGTTTATTTATCTAAATTATATTGAACCAGTGTGAAGTTGGTAGACCAAAATTAGTAGACCAAATAAAACCGAACTACCAGTGGCGTCGGTTCAATGAAAATAACCTTTTTAGACTGGTATAAGAAAATTTACTAGAAAATACATTATTGGTATTTAGGGGGTGTCCATTAATTACGTGAGGTATTTTTGAGGATTTTTTGGCCCCCTGGTGGGGTTTTGTAAGATTTTACTCAACTCCTTCCCCTCTACCCTAATCTCACGTGACATTTTTTCAAAATTTGTGTTTTAGGTGTAAATGCGTTGGAGTATTATTAAAAAAAAACATAATATTACTTTTATTTAAGACTAACAAAGATTAGTATTTGAGAATATTGCCGTAATTTAAAATCACAGTGATAAAAATAATTAATAAACTTTACTTTATCAAAATGACAAAAACCACTATTTAGCACGAAAATCCAGGTATAATTTTTATTATGAATGATTCAATGCATTATTATAATTCAAATAAATAATCTATTATTAAATAGCAAGACCTCCAAATACGTTTTGTAAGTCTTTAAAAATGTGCGATTCTGCGGTTAAACCTTACTTTATCAAAATGACAAAAACCACTATTTAGCACGTATTTGGAGGTCTTGCTATTTAATAATTTATTATTTATTTGAATTATAATAATGTATTGAATCATTCATTCTAAAAATTATACCTGGATTTTTGTGCTAAATAGTGTTTTTGTCATTTCGATAAAGTGAGGTTTAACCGCGGAATCGCGCATTTTTAAAGACCTAAAAAACGTATTTGTAGGTCTTGCTACGTAATGATTTATTGTATTTTTAATGATACTAATGTATTAAATCATTCGTACTAAAAATTAAATCTGGAATTTCGTGCTAAATATTGGTTTTTGATAGTTTGGTAGAATAATGTTTTTCCGCGAAACCGCGCATTTTTAAAGACCTAAAAAATTTATTTAGAGATATTGCTATTTGATAATTTAATTTTTTTATTGATACTTGTTTATTGAATCTTTGGTATAAAAATTGTATTTGGAATCTCGTGTTAAATGTTTATTTTTGTTGGTTTTATTGAGTAATATTTATCCGCGGAAACGCTTGACTTTAAAGACCTAAAAACTATATTTAGATGTCTTGGTATTTAATAATTTTTTATTTATTTTATAGCAAGTAGTGTACTCAATTATTGGTATAAAAATCGTATTTGTAATCTCGTGCTAAATGTGTTTTTTTGGTCACTTTGTTCTCATAGTCGTTTGACGACAAAACACCTGACTTTAAAAAGACCAAAAAAAAATATATTTTGAATCATTGCTGGGCCATTAATTTTTGTTTAATCATTTAACAAAAAACATAAAGAATATTTGGTATAAAAATTATATTTATAATGACATTGTAAATGTGTTTGTTTTGTCCCCGTCTTTGTGTAAGATTATCTTATTTTAACTAATAATTCAAATTGAATTAATCCAGTTTTTTCAATAAATACACTAATTTTGATGTATTTCTAAACTTTTATGATACTAAAGTCCACCTAAGACAAAGATTTTGCGGAATAACAATATCAAAACATTAAGGGACCGCCGCGCAGTTTGTCTGCTAGCTTCAGCCTCATTATTATTATTATAAATGTTGAGGTTATAAATAAAACACTACTGTCATTTAGTCATTTAAGCATATTATATTTCTATAAAGGTCTGTAGCTGAATGCTTTGTTATCGCCTTCATATATGCGACATCAGCGAATCATATACAATCTTAGAATATATACTACACTTACTTATAAATAATATTGAAATTATTATCCATTTGCTTTTAAAAGTTTTACTTAGTATAATAATTAAATAATGTGACTCAGTTGCAATAAAAATCTTTCTCATATCAATGATTTTATAGACAATTGATTATTAAACACACCCATGTTGATTTGCTTACGAAACTGACTAATCCTTCATTGTTGTAGGTATAAGTTTAATCACACGTAGGTTTCAGATAAAACTTTGATCCAGTTGTTGAAACATTATTTTTACTTTGATACAAAACTTAACAGCTTTGCTCGCAGCTTTGTTTTAGAAATCACGTTATTTAGTGTATCAAAGGCACACTGCAGTTTGAGAATAAAAAAGTTTTTCTATATCCACATGGATATTAGCTTATCTACGCACAGATTACAAAACAAAAAAGTATGCTATTGCCTTCAACTGAATGAATATATTTCATATCCATTCTAGGTAGTGAGAACACTACAAAAAAATGAAATCCACCAATCACTGTTCATATTTTGATCAAAATTTTTAAATAAGTGACAATTCTGTCAAACTAATTGTCAGTATATGTTTTAGTTATTGAGATTAAACATACATTAAAATGGGCTATTTTTGTGTAGAATCGATAAATAATTGCATTTCTGTTTTTATTTCGTCTATAATTATAAATAATTTGTTAATTTAAATAAAACTATATGAAGTCAATTTAATTACGAGTATTAAAGCGTATTAAAGCGTCAAAAATAAAAGAATAGGTGGTCTTCTGGTTAACGTTCTTGCCTTCCACATGAAAGATTGGAGTTCGATTTTCGTTTATTTTATTTAAAAATTATTAAAAGTCATAAATTATTTTAAATTATTTGTCTTAATAACCTAAAATATTTTTTTATTTGTAAATTTTCGTTAGTGGGTCGTAGAAAAAATATACTGTACAATTCGAATGGATTGTCCACATCGCACTCAGACGATTGCGCGCTCCGTCTACGGCGTCGTGCTCAAATTTCGTCTTCGTGCGATATGGCTATCATATTCACTCTTGTTGCACAAACTAATATACCATAAATATGTCTAGAAGGCTGTGTTTAAAAAAAATGACTGTGTGTAATATACATTGCTGATTGTGTCAAAATCAAATTTTAATATTATTGAAGTGACAGTTATTAAATAAACGTGAAACAAACAACAACATGTCTAGCGAAACTTCCTGTATTCAGCCACTTTCATGATTTATATGAAATGTATATTCTATACAGGGTGTTTCAAAAAGGTATGTCATAAATTCATCCTCAGATAGATTACCAAAAAATAAGTGGATTTGGCTATATTTACCTATATCAAAAACTGGCTACCAACAAAGTTACAGGGTGTTAAACTAACATTCAGAAAAACGTTTTTTTTTTTTGTAAAAAGTTTACTGTTGCGATTTTTTCTTCAAAATTTTTGCCAGTGCTGTAGATTTGAAGGCCCAATATTCTAAGGAGAAAAAAAATTAAAGCGACCCCTTTAAAAAAAGTTGGGGGGTTGGGTACCTTTTA